TTCTAGGATTTTGTAATTATGTTTATGCTACAACTCATACTTATGCTGAACTTTTGGCTTTGAGACAGGGTGATGTTAGGCTAGAAACCCGTATTTTAGCCGTGGTATTACATTCCAATGATTGCGTTTTTACGTGTGTTTGAGCTCAAATGATAGTGAATTACACTTAGTACGTGTTTTATGCCTTGCAGGAAGCGATCTGGAGCTCAAAAGTTAATTTGGAGCTAAATTGATCAATTTGGAGCTTTGAAGTCTGAGTAAAAGCCCAATACATTAAGCCGGGATCGTGTTCGGGGGTCGTGTACCAAGTCTGGATGTTAAAAGAGGACGAAATAAGTTTACTCTGAGAAAATTGCACTGCTGCGCCACAAGGCGCGGCGCATCAGTGTAAAATGGTGCCTGACTTGAAAATATGTAGCTGCAGCTAAAATGCACTACCGCGCCGCATGGTGCGGCGTAGGATGCGGCGGGGCTGTTCAATTTTTACAGAGCGAAGTCCTAGTTCGCGCAGGAAAGGGTGTTTTCGTCTGGGCCCGACCCTACTTGATATAAATACATATAAAAACGCTATTTTGAGAGGTTGGACAGATTTGAGACATAGATTCGACCTAAGGAGGCAAGAACACGCTAGGAGCAAGGCGGGGAATTCTTCTACGAGTTTTTCCTTCCTCTTCCTATTTTTCATTGTTGGTTATGATTTTTAGTATTGTAGTTTTACATACTATTATGAATAGCTAATTCGTTTTCTAGGGTTTTGATGGAACATTTTGGGGATGAATTGGTTGTTATATTAATATAGTTTTGAGTTAGTTGTTAATCTCTATTTGTTCAACTACGTTTTGATTTTGGTTAATTGAAAGGATCCTCAATTAGCCGTTCCTATTTATTATGTATCTGCTTGAGAGAGAGTGCATATTTAGGTAGTTGTTTGAACAACATCACTCCCGGAGTATAGGCGAGAGTCATAACCGAGGTTTAGAGGTTGGATTAGAGATAACGATACCTCGGGTGCGATCTAAGTGAACTGTAATGTGAATCTAGCTAGCGTAGCTTGAGAGAGTGCGTCTAGTAAATTATCATAATTGCTCGAGAGAGATTTATGATAGCTGGAGAGTTCATGATTGATAGAGGCAACTAAGTCAAAGCTATAAGAAACATACAACTAATGAAATCAACAATTGGGGAAATCATAATTCTAGACCTCCTTAATTTAGTCTCCAAACCTTTGTCTCGTTAGTTGATAATTTTACCGTTTTATAGTATTTGTTGGTTAATTAGTTAGATATAAAAATCTTAATATTATAATTTAGAAATTGTTCAAACTTGTCTTCTTTGGGATATTGAACAATTACAGCGAAACCTTAGTTCTCTGTAGGATTCGACTCCGGACTTTTAGACCGGATTATATTTGCAGCGACCGCTTATCCTTTTTAGGATTAGAGTTGGACGTGATCACAGGGACTACAAGTTGCTCTTGACCAAGGACTACTACCATTAGAGATTGGGACGGACTCTATCGAAATCATGACTTCTTTATAAGATCTTTTTTTCTTTCCCTTTCTTATTGCATAATCTTTCAATTTAGAATTGTTTTGGACTATTTTACAATTGTTATTTTCTAATCATTAGCGTAAGCAGGGGAGGCTCAACAGATCCCGTGACCTAAGGCGAAATCATTTTGAGTGGTCCTTAAATTTATTTTATAAAATATTTATACTAACAACAAATTTTGTATTTTAAATAACAAATTAATCATTTAAGACAAAAAAGCGAATTTAAAAAAATAATACTTAAAAAATAGGAAGAAGAACACAAAAATAAAGTGGTGGACTATTGGATGTTGAGCTCCAGAACTCAAAGTGAAAATTTTAATTTGGCTATCATCACAAACAATAAAAAGAAATAAACGTACATAACGTAATAGCTTAAGTTTTGAGCATTGAGGCTGTCAAAATATTTACTCCTTCTTATCAATTTAAACAATAGTAGTAGTTCATTCTATTAAGTACTAGCACGTATTAGTGAATATCTAATATAAATTGTAAATAACCTAATATAATATGTCGAATTACACTAAAAAAAAACTGGTGCATGAATGCTTTTGGGTGCAGTTTCAGAGAACGTTGAAGAAATTCATTATGTTGTCGATATATGTAACTTAATTTCTATATAAAAAGGATAAAATTAAAATTGTAGAGTGAAGCAAATATACTAATTAATGAGAGAAGAAAATTAGCATAATATATAAATTTATTGTATAAAATAACCTCAATCAAGTAACAAAAAAAATATTGTAACACTTTTCTTTATACTAATTATTTATATAAATTATATAGTGTATAATAATAATAATAATAACAACAACAAAAACTACCCAATAAAATCTCACAGAGTGGGGTCTGGGGAGGGTAATGTGTACGCAGACCTTACCCCTACCCCGATAGGGCAGAGAGGCTGTTACCGATAGACCCTCGGCTCAGAAAGACGAAAATAAAAATAAGAAAAGACAATTCATTAGTAATTGCAGTAGAAATCGTAATAGTAACATAAGCATAACAACCAAAAGATAAATGACATGCAATAACAGTAACCAAAATCCAAGACCCGGGGCTAAGATAAACAGCAAGGATAGTGTGGACTCAACATAAACTGCAAGCCATCTAAGATCAACCCTAATCCTACCCCGCCTCACATCGGGTATGAAGTAGGAAAGCTCTATTACCCCCTAACCTACAACCCTAATGTTTGACCTCCACACCTTCCTATCAAGGGCCATGACCTCGGAAATCTGCAGTCGTACCATGTCCTGCCTAATCACCTCTCCCCAATACTTCTTAGGCCCCCCTCTACCTCTTCTCGTACCCACCACGGCCAACCGCTCACACCTCCTCAACGGATCATCAAGGCTTCTCCTCCGCACATGTCCGAACCATCTGAGCCTCGTTTCCCGCATCTTATCATCCACTGGTGCCACGTCCACCTTTTTCCGAATATCTTCATTCCTAATCTTGTCTATCCTAGTGTCCCCGCACATCCACCTCAGCATCCTCATCTCTGCTACCTTCATCCTCTTGATATGGGAGTTCTTAACCGGCCAACACTCTGCCCCATACAACATGGCCGGTCTAACCACAGCTCTATAAAACTTACCTTTGAGTATCGGTAGCACTTTCTTGTCACACAAGACTCCAAACGCAAGCCTCCATTTCATCCAGCCCGCCCCTATACGGTGAGTGACGTCCTCGTCGATCTCTCCGTTCCCCTGTATCATCGACCCAAGATACTTGAAGCTATCTCTCTTGGGGATGACCTGTGATCCAAGCATCACATCCCTACCTACTTCCCTCGAAGCGCTAAACTTGCACTCCAGGTACTCCGTCTTAGACCTGCTCAATTTGAAACCCTTAGACTCGAGGGTCTGTCTCCAAACCTCCAACCTCTCGTTAACACCTACCCTCGTCTCGTTAATTAGGACTATATCATCAACAAATAACATACACCATGGCACATCCCTTTGAATATGGTGTGTCAGTGCATCCATCACCAAGGCAAATAAGAACGGGCTAAGCGCGGAGCCTTGGTGTAATCCCATAACAACCGGGAAATGCTCCAAGTCGCCTCCCACAGTCCTAACCTTAGTCTTAGCTCCATCATACATATCCTTGATCGCTCTTATGTAGGCTACCGGCACGCTTTTTGTCTCAAGACATCTCCAGAGCACCTCCCTAGGGACCTTGTCATATGCTTTCTCCAAGTCAAACACCATGTGCAGATCCTTCTTCTTATCCATGTACTGTTCCACCAACCTCCTAATAAGGTGGATAGCTTCCGTAGTGGAGCGACCCGACCGGATATAGATATCGTCTTCCTCACCCTCGCCTCCACCACCTCTCCCAGACTTTCATGGTATGACTAAGTAACTTGATACCCCTATAATTGTTACAACACTGGATATCACCTTTGTTCTTGAACAACGGTACCACTGTACTCGACCTCCACTCCTCCAGCATCCTCTTCGTCCTAAAAATAACATTGAACAACCCAGTCAGCCACTCCAATCCTGCTCTACCCACACACTTTCAAAAGTCAGTCGGAATTTCGTCTGGCCCGATCGCTCTACCCCAACTCACCTTATGCAAAGCCCCCACACCCTCCTCCATCTTAATGCGCCTGCAATAATAATAATAACAATAATAATAAATTTAGGACCTTTAAATTTTGGGGGCGTAAGGCAACTGCCTCCCTGCCCAAAGCCTTTGAGCTGCCCCGAGCGCAAGTATTAACCACGAAGAAAAATACATTATAAGTTTATCTATCACTTTTATATTCACATTAGTTTATACAGGATTTTAATTTGTTATTGAAATTTTCGTTATTCTCTTTTACAATATTATTTATATGAAAGATACTAATTATTTTTATGATGTATAATTATTTAATAACTAAAAATTATGTATTTTTAATACATCATAATAAATTATACTTATTATATACATTAATTTTAATATTTAAATATTTATATAATTAGACTTATACAACCAAACATAATACATGTAATTAACTATAATTACATCATGACAAACAACCATGCTATTGTAATTACTATGCCAGGTAATCAATACCCTAATAATTACACAGTCCAATAATTACACAAGGCTTTCCAAACAGACCCAAAGAGTATTAGCATATACTGTCACCTGACAGTATGATAAGTAAAATGTACCACGAAACATCATCTACCACTAAAAAATTACTCTAAATAAAGAATTATTTATTTCTATTGAAAAACAAGAAGTCATTTATCGCTTTCTTTACTAAATCTATCTTTGATGATCTAATTAGTGAAGTGTTAATGTTTAGAGACGGAAAACGAAAGTGGTTTAGGCAAATACTCTTATCTAATAGTATTAAATACATTTCTTAGGGGGCGTAATTTTGACCATAGTAGATGACAAGCCCACCAATGGAACAGCTGAGACGATGATATCGCTGACGACGGGTTAAAAGTCATGGCAACACACAATAGACCAAAAGCAAAGAGCATTAAACTTAACTGGCTGATTATTTTTCCAGATCATACAGTTCAAACACCATAAATACAAGATTTTTATAGGTAGGCTGAGCATTGAGTCACTACATCGAACAAGAGGGCGGATGGAAGAGCTTCGACCCCAAACTCTGGTACGTGTAACTTTTGCATGCCATTTCTTAGGTAAGCAGCTTCTTATGTTTTCCAGGTTTTCAAAGAATTTACAAGGTTACTAAGCCTGCAAAAATCAACAATGTAGACAATCAAAGAAATGCACATTTTCCAGTATTAATCACATATCTTGTTTAAGTTGTAACATAAAAAAGCTTTTCCGGCAGTACACTAACCAGTTCAAGTTTCCCAACCCCAAAACTCTTTTGATAGATTTCCATTATCCATTTCACCCCCTCATCCAGAAGACTAGGACGACCAAGAAATGCCTGACCTAGTTCTGGCTTAAAAACGGAACTTCATGAGACGTAAAAGAAGTCGTAGAGATAAAAGTAGGACTGAGAGTAAATGACCAAAACTAGAATTGGAAATAGATCCCTCCAGATGGAACAGGAAGGTCGAATCCAAAGCAGATCACAAAATGCAAAGGTTAATAAACAACTTACTATGACAGCTCACTCTATGGATGACAGGTCATTTAGCCTTCGTCCTCTGATTTAGAGTCATAATCTGCGTTGTCCTCAAGCTTTACCTCCACTTCGACCACCTGCACTGGGACTGGGAATGTGGGTGCACTTCCTGCAAGTAGGGAAGAAATGCTAATATTATTGTCAAAGCTGCTATTACAAATATACCATAGCGCTGGGAAATGGTTCACTGTTGTATTTCTAGGTGGAGCAGCAACTGTTACTAAGCATCAAGAGAAGTCACTCATGTAAGATTGTGTTAGAACTCCACTACTTCTCCCCTTCACTAGAGATCAACCTACTTAAAACATTTTTTTTATAAGGTTCAACCTACTTAAAACATCTAACTTGAAATAGGCTTGCTAGAAGAAAATAGTTCCTCCAATGTGCTAACTAATGCAATGTACCAACCAAACTGAAGAAGACTTACTCCTTGTTTACTACTTCTAAACTTCTTTTTTCTGAGTACTACTTAAGTTCAATGTCGTTAGTATTAAACTAGCCAATTAAGTTAAACATCATTTCTAGATAGTACACCTAATGAGCAAAGTGCCAAAGAAACAAAACTGAAATACAACAACATACACACAGTGTAGTCCCCCAAAGAAACAAAACTGAAATTTTTCCATCAAAACAAGCTGAACCACCAGCTGAGAATTCAAGTCTGTAAAAAAATAATCTTAAGAGGATCAGAGTCCAATGCCTGTAGGAGTTGGAGGCATGAAGTTTAAACACTCAAAGGCAACAGAAGCTAAAGCCAACTTCAACCCTAACCGCATAACAAAGTGGTTCATTAAACCTAAAAACTGGAAGACACCCAGAATAATTCCGATGGAATCTTGTAACAATCATGCAACTTTGGTTCATAAATACACTATTGCGGACTTAAACTCCTATATTCCTCGGCAAATACAGGTGCTTTTAGACCTTCTACTTCAAAATTTTGGTTTTGACTTCTCCGCCTTGGGGTATTTATGCTTTCCATACAGCTATGGAGAAAGCTTATCCTTGTAGTATCAAATATTTCAACTGGGTTTGGGATGTTGCATTAAGATTCTCCTTATTACTGGGATATCTCATTTGACGCTAGACCATGTGCAAACCTGTGGTTGTTTTGGATCTGCATGACATTAATCTGATGTGAAATAAAAGACTAAGAGCCCGTTTGGACATAGAATTTTTTTCCCTTTTTTCCAAAAAAAAATTCACTTTTTTCGAAATAAGCGTTTGTTCATACAATTTCCAATTTTCACTTGAAGATGCATTTTAGAAATTTTTGAACATTTAAAAAACTCCAAAAAACTGTTTTTCAAAATTTTCACTCACAAAACTTCAAAAACAACCCAAACTGAAATTTATGTCCAAACACAACTCTAAATTTCAAATACCATTTTCGAAAAAAAATTTCACCGTTTTTTGGAATTTTACAATTCTTATGTCCAAACGCCTACTAAGACACTAGTTCTATGATTCTACGGTATCCTTTGTAGGAATTATACCTAGACTATTTTTAGCTTGGCACTCAACTTTCCGCAAGTCTCCTTCCTTTGTCTAAGCTCGGGACCACCTACACTTACATAGTCAGCAAGATATGGCTTAAGCAATCAATTCCAGAAAAAATAGGTCTTCCTATCATTTATACTGGCGATAATACCTCAAAATCGCTAATTTATTTTCAGTCTCTACACTACCACTGCGAGCTAAAAACAAGAAGACTTTTTTTTAATGACTGAGAAATCCGTTTGGGGCCAACCCATAGGACCAACTGCACCCTTCGAAACTTGGGAAGATGGGTCTGCCTATCTACCATTCCCACGTAAATTACGAGGATTAGTTCGCATTGCGAGGGCTCGAACCTGCGACCTAAGTTACAAGTCCCTCCGTTTGCCACTTGAACTAAGCCCTATGGTCTAAAAAAACTAGACAACTATTTTTACTTCTCAATTGTTCTCCCAAAAAGAAACAACAACAACTAAGCCTCGGTCTCAAACAAGTTTGGGGTCGGCTATGTGAATCCTCACTGACCACATTCCTATATTTAAACTCATGTCATGCCAGTATTATGCAAATACTGAATAATTAAAACCTAATCGAATTAAACATAAAAACATTACTCCTCATTTGTCCCACCAAAAAGAAACAACTACGCCTCAATGCCTCAGTCCCAAAAAATTTAGGGTCCACTATATGAATCCTCACGGACCCTTACTCCATTTAAACTCGTGTCATGCCAATATTATGCAAATACGATATAACTAAAAAAATTAGAATTAAAAACAAAAACATTTAAACACATAAAGCTTCCTCCTTTTTAACATATGTATACCTCCAGTGAAAAAGGAAGAAGAGGGCCAACCACGAACTCTTGACACGCACGCCGTTTCATCCTCCGACAACAACAACGAAGACGAACCAAAATGACTCCTCACAGAAGCAAGCTTCCCGACAACCTCAACAATCCTATGAGGATCAAAATCACCTCCTCCTCCTCCTCTATGACCATGTATACCTCCTCCTACTTTCACAAACGGTTGATTAGGAAGAGGTGGGACCCAGTAAGAGTATCCAGGCAAAAAAGGGAGCCAATCAGGTGCGGAACGTCTCACGATAACCGAATGGATCACCTCTTCTAACTTCCTTATTCCGCCTTCCGATCCGATAGAGGAGGAATCGAGATCGATCTCGATTAACTGAGGGTGAGGTGGTTCTCCTTCGCCGGAACCATCGCCGTCGCCGGATCGGTTGGAGTTTGAACGGTGACGGAGAGTGAGGACAAGAGGTGGGGCGAATTTGGGTCGGGTTAAAGTTCGGGTTAGGGTTTGGATTTGGGAATTATTAGAGAGAAGACGAGCCATTTGGGAAAGGGAATTTTTGGTAGGAATTGGAGAAAGGATTTGGTACGGATGAAAAGAGATAGGAGTGAATTAATAGGTAACTGGTTCACTTGTTAGCCAGGTGGAAATAGGGCGAGAAACAGTTGAGGTGGCAGCCGTGGGCGGTGGGTCTCATCGGTGACTGGTGAGCTGGTAGTGTCGTTTTTGGTTATTATTCTTTTTTCTTCAAGAATTTTGGATAATGTGAGTTCCTCCTTTTTTATTTTTTATTCTTGCAAAAAAAAAAAAATTACCCGGTTTAATTTAAGCTATTTATACTATCTTGAGAGTTGAGCATCTATTTTTAGAATTTTCTTTTACTTGAAACTATCTTTAGAATTTATTTTTAAAATTTTCTAATATATCAGAGATCAGCACGGAAAAAAAGACGGTAAAAATTAAACTCACACTTTCAATCCCATAAAAAATATCATTATGATTTGGTTTTTCTTTTTATAGTATTTTCCTTGTAATTCTATTATTTTGTGCTATCATTTTATCTAAGAAGGATCAACACATTTTTCCTACTAGATTTTAGAAAAATCACATGCATTCAAATTTATATTAAATAGAAAATTGCTATATAGAGCTAGTGTTTATAACAAACCAAATTAATTCAATAAAATTATTTGCCTAAAAACTTTTATCATTTGATCATGGTAATTCTACTCCTTCGGGGTAGGAGTAAGGTCTGCGTCCACACTACCCTCCCCAGACCTCACTAATGGAATTTTATTGGATTGTTGTTGTTGTTGCATGGTAATTAATATATTATTGTTTCCTAATTTTGTACGATAATTTAACACAGTTTGTGTAAATGTAATGTCAGATGTACACATATTTTGTGTATATATGGAGAAGCTCTAATGCTAGAGTAATTCACTCAAATAGTCAGATTCGATTTACTATTTGTAATCTTAATAGCTCTCGTAAAGTGTAAGTTTTTATCCTATAAAAGATTATACCTTCTTCATTTTTATTTACTTGTTGGTAACTATTACTAGCACTAGTAAGGATATTCCGTGCTGCGCATGGCCCAATAACATCGCTAAACAATAGAGTGTATATATATATATATATATATATATATATATATATATAT